AAAAATAACATGTTTAAATATTTTACTCCAAATTTCATTCAAAAACCCTCATTTTTTTATGAAATTAAATTAAAATTATCTGCATATTGATCATTATTAAAATTACAAATTTATTAAATTATTGTGTTTATTGAATTATTTAATTGCTTTTTCATTATATTATATGCAGTTATTTGAAATAAATGCATATATGTCGATAATGTGACAAAATATGTTTGATTTCAATTATTTTTACTCTGTTCCTTTTATAATAAAAATGTACATTATATTTATACAATATATATATTATTTATAAACTTACTTGGCATAAGGCAGGATCCAAGGGTGCTAAATTTGGCAAAGACATACATCTCAGAACCCTTTCGGGGCAATTTGTGGGGCCAGGACCCATCAGTAAAATATCTGGAGCATTTAATGCCTTACTCAGAGCCGTGGGTCCTTCGGGATAGTCTAGTTTCTCCATTATTCGAACTTTTTTAACACTTTTTATTTTAATAAACTCTAAATTGAATATATATATCGATAATTGTAATATTAAATAATAATTTAAACCTAATGATTTTTTCTAGTACTGATTGCTCCAAGACTGATTGCACTACTGCCAGTTGAACGCGGTCCATGTGGAGATAGCAATATTCCAGTAAAAACTGTATTTTTCAGTTACAGGGCCGAATCAAGAAGTTTTAATTAAAATAATCTTAATTGTAAATTATCAAGTTATTTATGGCTGCTTTTATTATTTTTATGAAGTTTTATAGAATAATATAAATGATAGACTAACAGTGTGGGCTATAATGTTTTCGCCAGAAAGTATGACTCGCTATTTATCGACATTTCAGAAGTCAATATGTATTAAAGATCATTTTTATAAGGACTCGTGTTAATTTCTTTGGTGAAACAATCGGCCGAGCCATTTCTTCAGGGATAGAAGAAAAAACCGTTTTTGAAAATTTGAAAACCGTTTGAACTGTTTGATCATCATCAGTTGGAAGTTGGAAAACGTGCTGATTATTCCGTAAAGATCGGCCTGGCTATTTCTTCGTAATTAATTTTAATGAAACTTTCTATAGAAATAGAGTTCATGATCTGAAGAAACATTCTTAAATATTACGGGCCCAGGACAAGTGGTTTAAATATAAATATTTATTCAAATTTAGAATTATGGTGCGTGTGTCTAGTTTAATATATTTTAGGTAGTTAAATATTAACAATTTATATTATTATTTATCAATATTACTTGATGTTAATAAATTAGCAGTTGTAATAATTATTGAAATTAAAAAAAAAAATATTATATATATATATATATATATATATATATATAATATAATATTATTATTTGTGTTTGCATTTTGTGCACACATTTGTATGTGTTTTGTGCTTGTATTTGTATGTAATATATTTAATATAATAAAGCAAATCAATTATAACAGTAATACGTATTACTATTTCTCTATCATTGGTATATAAAGTTTACAAACGTTTCAAAATTTCAAATTTGCCGCTTATTACGTATTTCATATCTAATTCAGAATGTGAACTGTGGATCAATGATCTGGCAACACTGCATATCTTTTTCCTTTCTGCCATCGTGGATGATTGAAATGGGTCTTATTTTTTGGTTATAGTGAAATAACTTTTAAGTGAGTTTTAGCAATAATTATATAGTTATCAGTTTCGTCGTTCCATGAATTATACTTTCTGTTATGAATGAAATATATGCTCCAAGTTTTTTTTTTACCATGTGTTAAATAAACTTTTATAAGTGTGGCTTGCTCTATTCTATATTAATATTTTATGTTTTGCAGATAGCAGGCCAACATGCAGATTTTTGTTAAGACCCTTACGGGCAAGACCATTACTTTAGAGGTCGAAGCTTCAGATACTATCGAAAATGTGAAGGCGAAAATTCAAGATAAAGAGGGAATCCCTCCGGATCAGCAAAGGTTGATTTTTGCTGGCAAACAGCTAGAAGATGGACGTACCCTTTCTGACTATAATATCCAGAAAGAATCCACTTTGCATCTTGTTTTGCGTCTTCGAGGTGGAGCCAAGAAACGTAAGAAGAAGAATTATTCCACTCCCAAAAAGATCAAGCACAAGAAGAAGAAGGTCAAGCTCGCAATTTTAAAATGCTATAAGGTAATGCTCTAATCAATTATTTACTTGTAGTAATTTATCAATATCTTTACTAAACGGATAAATACTATTCTCGTATGCTAATATGATCCATAGAGATCATTGTTGCTATAACAACTTTTACATCAAAGGGATTATTTAGATTTTAGAAAGCTATATAGTTCCACAACATATTTAAAATTCATATTATAATAAATCTTGAAAAAGTACTTGATAACGATTATTAAAATCCAACATTCATGACGTTGTATTGTGCACCATAATATTCATTATTAAAATAAGTATATCGCAGCATCAAAATTTCTGCCATATTATTAATCATAAATATAACTAAATGTATTTTGTAAGCTTTTCATATCCAATGCCATTCTGATAAATATATGTAGTATAAAAATGGAAATTTTGAATGCCTACTTCTTAATTATTTAAATTTAAACAAGATTGTTCTATGACTACATTATGCCACAGTACACATTAAATATCAATCATTCTCATCATTGTATCCTTGTAAAATTACTGAGCAAATGTCTAAACTTTAAATATTTTTTAGGTTGATGAAAATGGAAAAATATTCCGCATGCGTCGTGAATGCCCTGGAGAAGCTTGTGGGGCTGGTGTTTTCATGGCGGCCATGACCGATAGGCACTACTGTGGGAAATGTGGCTATACTCTGGTTTTCAGCAAACCAGAAGAATAAACTGTTATGTAAAAATATAAAATAAATATTCATAACACATTTCTGAAGTTTTATTTTAGATATATTTATCTATTTTTTATTTATTATAACTACATATATATTCTATAATTTACAGGCAGGAGTCTTTAAGTTATCATTATATAATTTACAGGAGTCTTTAAGACTTCATAATATTTAAATTGCTTGTAATTCAATCAATATTATTAATATATGTACACAGTTTATGATACAAAAATTAGTCTTTAAAGTAAGAATGAAAACGTTTAAATTTTCTCTTGTTTTACTTAAATTTAATGATATTCATTATTTATTATGATACTGATTATTTGTGATAATCATTGATACCTCTAACTTTATGATTTTGTCTAGCTTTACTAGAATGTGTTCAAATTTACTACATACTAAATCTAATGAATATATTTTAATATTGTCTAATAATAGTTTAATAATAATAATATTAATTAATAATAATAACAGTCTAAGATAGTAAAATCAATTTGCTATCTTTTAAATCATTATTATATTGTTTAGATTTTAAATCTTTCAATTTTAAAATATCGATAACTTCATCAATTATTCTCATTCGTACCTAACTTCATATATAAATACAGATCTGAATCCTAGGTTGTGAAGTGTGGGTCAAGAATAATGAATAATGGTGTTCAGTGCAGTCAAAATAATTCATTTTACTGCTCGTATTCTTTAAATTTTTCGTTTCATTTGGAAAATTGTGATACATATAGCATCCTAAACGAAAGTATTATAAATATATTTTCGTGTAACATATAAGTTGATAACAAACTCCTGAAGTTGTTTGTCATGTAATATATTACTTTGCCAAATATTCACTTTAAAAACAATATGTTAAATTGCGAATACTGTTAAAATCGCTCTTTAAAATAGTCAATCAAATAATGTCGCGGTCAATACGAGCAGAAACGCGTAGTCGCGCAAAAGATGATAATAAACTTCGTATGCAAGCAGTTGACAAGGTCCGCCATTGGTGGGTTATAAATTTGTTATATATAAACAAAATAATATGAAACATTTAATATCATTTCCTTGCAATTGTTTCCATGTACATGTATGACTTAATATACAATTATTATTGTATACAATTATTATTGTATATTAAGTCATACAATTTTCAATCGTTTTGTATGAAAATTTTTCTTATGGTTAGGGACAATATATATTACCAAATAATAATAAATAAATAAAATCTAAAATAGCTACACTTTTAAAGCATCATTGTATGACAATATTTTATTGTGAACATTTATTTTATCTTTTTAATATAAATGGATTATTTACAGGGAGAAGAAATGGGTGACTATCGGTGAAACATCAATGAGGATATTTAAGTGGGTTCCAGTATCAAGTAGCGAACAGAAGAAGAAGTTATGCATTAAAGAAAATAAAGAGAATTCACACAAACCTACTACAGATTCTTCAAATTCGAATTTTGGATTAACAGAGGATTCCAATACTTGTAAGATTAAAATTGTTTAATTTGAGACATTAGAAAAATTATTAGAATAAGTTCTTGAATGGTAATAATAACATTACAATCTAATTTTCAAGTATCAGATAGTTTTTTAGTGTTATTTTATACATTTTCTCTAATTTTACTACATGTTTAATAATAATAAATTATGTAATATTAATGCAAGATAAATTTATAGGTTTTTCTACAGTTAGCGACTCTCAAGGAGCAACGGAATTTGTTTCCAATATGCCATTTTCTGAAGATTCTAATTCTCAAAGCAGTGAGACAGGAACTCCAGCTAAAAGATCAAAACTAGATAATTAATGACAAAATGCCTGAAATAATGTGATCGAACATTTTATATTTCTTGGCATGATTTTTTTTATATGCGTTTAGTATTAAATGTTAAAAGTGATGTATGATTTTACCAAACGTGTGTAACTATTTATTTAAATGTCTGTGGGCCTGAACTTTGTAGCCATACTTGTATTCATGATTTATTTATTGATTATGAACCTGTAAAAATAAATAAAACAGTTATTTTGTATTCAGTGTCTTAAAAGACTTCAAATGTTTAAATATGCCAATTAGCTTCGCAAATTATTTTAAGAATTTCAAAATGTTCAACGTATATTATATTTTAAATATATTAAGTTCTAAAGATACTTAAATATAATGAAACATTTTAGTAAAAACAATGTGTTTAAATATAGCATGTAACATTTAGGAATAGGTAGATTATTATATGAAAAAGAATTTCTAGCATTTAGCACATTAAAGAATGTTAAAATATTTTATGTTTAACATAAAAGAATGTTAAAATATTTTATTTCAAAAGATTGTTTTTTAAATTACATTACATTATAAATTATTTATTTAAATGTATGTATTTAATAAATAATCATGTATAAACTATCACTTATATGACTATGCTGCCTTGTTTAAACTTCTATATTCATTTATGATTTTAATATATCAGTATCTATTTTGACTAGAACTAGTATATTGCCTAGGGCTAAACATTTAAATATATTATATTACCGGGTTTGGTAAACTCAGTTTTGTTTCATACTTCATGGCACTGTTCAGTTATTTATTGGTTGGTATTTCCGCAATCATGAAGAAGAGGGAAGACGGAAGCTTCACTTGATTCACACAGCCATTTTATTTCAGTCAAGAAATTTGTTTGGTTAAGAGGTTTCGTTGGAAAAAATACTTTGTACAAATGATGGCTTACGTTATGGAGAGTCATGGATTACCCAGAGCTAATTATATAGTGAGTAAATAATATTTTGTATTTTTTTGTTGTTATAAAATAAATAAATAAAATTATTTTGAATTATATTTCCGTGATGATATGTTACACCTTTAATGATACATCAATGATTATTTGTTAACATGCACTACCAGCTGATTATATCTTTGATTTAAATAAGTCTCTTGTAATTATGTGCTTTTTTAAAAATGTTGTTTTCTTTAGATTTTAGTCTTGAAAACCACGTGGACCTAATTCGATTGTGATGTACAAAGATGGTTGCAGCTTACTTCGGTAATTACAATTATTTAATATACTATTACTTATTTTCATGATGATATCTTACACCTTTTATGAGATATGATTATTTGTTAACATGCACTACCAGCTGAAGAACTATATAATTCGGTATTCGACACATTTCCGCTACTTTGTTTTTATAATAATTCATTTATTTCAGGTTTGACTTCAAAGAAATGATAGCCACATCCTTTCGATGTAAAGAGACAGTTCTGGATAAGGTAAATACTGTTTCTTTTCATTTTTGTCTAATAATTTTATGATGAAAAATTACACCATAAATGAGTCATGATTATTTGTAAACATGCACTACCAGCTGAGGAATTTATTAACCCTTAGCATTTTAAAATGCTAGAATTTTTTTTAAATTAGTTTATAATTTTCAGAGTACATCGTTGTCGAGTCTTCAGGGTTGATACCAGCTGTAGAAAGACGACTTCCTTTGAACTTACTTGATAAGATGTAAGTTCTTTTAAGTATATAGAAATAAAATATATTGCTTTAAATTAAATGATGTGACTTTTGTCAGTTCTGCTACTGAATAGTTTTGAAGACAGCTTCATTACTGATCCTCTTATTTATTTATTAATTTAATTTGGTGTGTTAATTTTTTTTATTAATGTAGATGTTTCATTTTAGGAACTGATATGGTGCCTGGCACTATGATCATTTTAAGGATGATTTTTCATGAAATCAAGGTAACTTCTATGACATGTTTGCAATATATTTCATATGATGTGACACTATGTCAGTTCTGCTACTGATATCATTGAAAGAAAATTTATTTACTGAATGTTTTATTTAGTTTTTTGTTCATAGTATATTTTCCTTTCATATATTAATGAAATCTATTTCTAGATTGTCTTGTAATGGAAGATATCAAAGATTGGACTTCTTCCAATACACCTACAACACAATTATATAGGTAATACATAATATATTTGAATATTTGCACTTATATTCATATGATGAATACATTAAGTCAGTTCTGCTACTGAGTAATTATGACAGACAAATTATGTACTGATATTTATAATATAGAACTTTATTATAATCTAGCTGTTATTGGTTGTTAATGTTATGTATATATTTATAGGTGCTGCAGTTTCAACATTACTACAGATCTAGAACGGGTCCACTTGCAATATTTGTCAATTCTTATGAAGGTAATATATTTCAATATTTACAACTATATTAATATGATGAATAAATTTGCTCAGTTCTGCTACTGAGTAATTATGACAGACAAATCATGTACTGAAATTTGTAATGTTTAATTATATTAAAATCCGTTTATTTCTATTTGCTAATGTTAAATGTATTTACAGGTTCTGTGCTTCTAACATTTGGAGGATTGATACATTATACAAATACATATAATTGTAATTTTATAAATACAAAATTGATTCTTATGTTTGCATTTTTATTTAACCTTCCATTAAACTTTGATTTTATGTATCATAAAATGTGAAATTAAATATCAATTATGAAATCATTAATATGCATGATAATGTATTAACACATTAAGTATTTAATTTATTATTTTGCTGTTAAATATCATTTTAGATAATATTTGATAACCATTTAAATATGTTTCAATATCAATCTGGAGTTAATAACTATAAAATTTAAACGGATTTTACAGTTTTTTTGTCAAACAACTTTGTTTATATTATTCTTCTCCGTCGCAGTTGGCACCCCTGACATTTTGACATTCTTGTTTTATATTCTTACTTTTTTAGTTTTGCTAATGTTATCAACATAAATTAATTTAAAATAACCAAAAATTATTCATGTTACATAGAACATTCGTATTAAAAATTTATAACCATGAATGCGTTTAATTCAGAAAATACTATATTAGAAACTCTGCAAGCAGCTTGCAGTCAAGATGCTAACATATTAAAACCGGCAGAAATGATTTTAAATCAGTGGGAAATTCAACCAGGATTTTACAGCGTATTATTAGTATGTTTTTAATAACAATCATACATAAATGTTATTTTTTTGTATATAAATGATATATGTTCTTTCAGAAAATATTTGCCAATCAAACAATTAATTTTAATATTAGATGGCTAGCTGCACTTTATTTCAAGAATGGCATTGATAAATATTGGCGAAAAAACGCTCCGAAGTAAGAATTACAAAGTTTAAAAATGGAATATATATGCAATATGTTATTATGTTATAAGCATTTACAAAAGTCTTGCTTTTTAAAGTTGTATTGCCGAAGATGAAAAATTGGGTATACGAAATGCAATTATTAGTTCATTTAATGAACCTGTCAGTCAAATTGCTGTTCAACTTGCCGTGATCATAGCAAAAATAGCAAGGTACGTAAGTAATTTAATATCAAGATTCAAATAATAGACTGTACTGATATTGAAGCATCTAATTTTTGAAAGATTTGGCATGTGAAATTTATTTGTGCACTACAATTACTTGATGTGTATTAACGTCTGTAAAACAAGTATGACAATACAGTGATAAATAGGTGAAAAAAGTAATAAATATTGTACAGTCAAAATTGTATTGAAAATATATATGATAAGTTTTAAAAATACACATCAATTTGGTCTTTCTATATAAAATATTTTATAAAATCCTTCAAGTTAATTTGTTTTACAATATGTTAAGTTTAAACTATCATGAATATTTTAACTTTTATAAGTATTTTATTATTAAATTGGATCTTTAAAGATTTGATTGTCCTCGAGAATGGCCAGAATTAATGCCTACACTAATGCAAGCTCTTAAAAATGATGATTCATTGCAACAGCACAGAGCGCTTTTATCAACACATCATGTTATAAAATCTCTTTCATCAAAGAGATTAACTGGGGATAAACGACTTTTTCAGGTGATTGGATACCTGCATATGTAGAGGTACAAATTATATTATAACTTAGTAAATTATTTTATTTTCTACAGGAGCTTACTGAAAATATATTTCCATTTATACTTAGCATTTCTAATGAAAAAACAGAATTGTATTTAAATTTAGTGAGCAGTAATGGATCGAAAGAATTAATTCATGAAAATTTAGAAAAAGCATTATTGACATTGAGAATTTTGAGAAAACTGAGTGTATTTGGTATTAAAAAACCACATGAATCAGAAGTATGTATGCTGTTTCTCAAAAATTTATTTTTAAAATCTAAAATGATGCTTGATTCAAGTAAGTAAATAATAATTAGCATTCCTCTTTCAAGTCCATCACATTATTTTTTGTAAATAAATTTTGTAACCACTATAGTTTTGTAACCATTTTATTATTTATTACAAAATATTAAAAATATATTTTTAACAAATAGCAAATTAATAATGAATTAATGAATATATTAAAACATTATATTAATAATTAACTTCGTAGCATCTTATTTCGTATTTTATAACATATATAAAAAGAATATATAATAAATTGTATGAATTGTGTGAATTAGTTGATTTTAATGATAAAAATGAAAGTTTTGTTATGGTTTTGATAGATAAAATCTTCCAAATATTACATAATGTTTATTAAGAAATGAAATAATGTTATATTTAATTTTATTTCTTTACAGGAGCTTACTTAAAGATGATTGATTCCAATTTAGTGGAATTATGCGAAAAATATATAACACATTTGACTAAAATCCTATTAGACATATTACAACATCATCCATTCTCGTTCATTGACTTTATTCAGCCTGCATTAGAATTCTGTATTTTTTATGCATTCACTCCTGATGGAATAACACAGGTGTATGAACGTTTTATAATACAATGTTTAAACATCATTAAAGGGATAGTAATGTGTATCGAATACAAGCATAGCAAAAGTAAAATACCAGGTATACAAAATATTTAGCATACATTTAAAATAAGATCTGTAACATTATTCTTTCTAGATTTTCTAGAGAACAAAGCTGCTGAAATAAAAGAGAAATTTTTTACACCCAGTGTTTTGACAGAAATTTGCAACAAGCTGGTCACACATTATTTTCTATTGACGTCAGAGGATTTGGCAGTTTGGGATAGTGATCCTGAATCATTTTCTATTGATGAGATAGGAGAGTCATGGAAATATAATCTTAGATCTTGCACAGAAACTTTATTTACTGCTTTGATTCATGAATATAAAGAATTAGCACCAATAATAATGAATCTTATTCAAAGTGTGTCTACTATAGTTCCATCAAATGATTTGGCTGGAATTTTGAAAAAAGATGCTGTTTATAATGCTGTGGGCTTGTCAGCATTTTTCTTATTTGATCAGGTATGGACAAATACTTTTAAAATATAATTGAAATATTTTTTTTACATCTCGCTTTAGTATTATGTAATATCACTTAATAATATTAGTTAACATAAAAAATTATGATTAATCTATTAATCTATTGCCTTATATATATGTGTTTTAGGTTGATTTTGATAGTTGGTTTGTAAATATTCTTGCGATTGAAATTCAAAACAAAGATAATAATTATAGAATTGTGAGAAGAGCTGCTATAAAGTTAATAGGTATATTCTTAAATTATAATAAATCACTTATGAGTATCAATGTATATCATGAGTCAGAGATATAATCTTTAAAGTGATAATATTTTTTCACACAGGACAGTGGACTGGTGTTAAATTTTCATATGATTTGAGACCTAATTTATATTCTGTAATTATAACATTGTTAACACCTTCAGAGGATATGGCAGTAAAATTAGCTGCTGCAAATACCTTAAAGCAAGCTGTAGATGATTTCGAATTCAATTCACAGCAATTTTTACCTTATCTGGAATCTATTTTTGGATCGTTATTCCAATTACTTAAAGAAGCAAATGAATGTGATACTAAGGTTACTAATTGTCAATTAGTAACTGCTTTATTATATTGCTTATCAACCTATATAAATTTATTTCTTTAGATGCAAGTTCTCCATGTATTATCATTTGTTATAGAGCGAGTTGAATTAAATATAAGGCCTTATGCAGATTCTTTAATTCAATATTTACCAATGCTTTGGGAGGAATCATCACATCATAATATGCTTCGATGTGCCATTGTATCTACACTGGTAAGTTTAAACAAAGTTTGTATTTTTGTACAACTACCTAGATGAAATTAGTATAGTAACAAAAATATATTTATGCATTTTGACTATAATGAGTTAATTTATTTTTGTTAATATCTTACTAACAGTTGTTTTAAGATTTGGAATTCCTTTGGAAATTGGAAGTGTGTATACTTGAGTTTTTTTTTAAAATGACTCTTTAAATTTCAAAATATTACATTTCAACTTCAGGTTCGGATCATAAAAGCTTTTACGGCTGTACCCCAAAATTTGTATGGATTTGTGGTGCCAGTTATAATGTTAAGTACTGATTTAAGTCAAGAAAGTCATATTTATTTAATAGAAGATGGTCTTGATTTATGGTTAACCGTTTTGGAAAACTCTATTGATATGACACCTGGTATTTTTGAACTATGTGAGAGATTGCAGGCTATTTTGGGTTTGTTGTTGTTGAATATTAATTATGTATAATTATAGTATATTATATTTAATTATTTGCTTTCAGAATCAAGCTCTGAAACAATGAGAATGACAATATTTATAATTCAAGCATATGTTGTTTTGGCTCCTGAAATGTTTCTACAGTGTTATGGGAATAGTGTAATGAATACCTTGGCTTTGCTGATTTCTGATTTGAGGACAGAAGGCATAATAATTATTATGCGACTGCTAGATTTATGCTTACAAACAATTAATCAAAATGCAATTGCATATATAACCCCTTTGTTGCCTTTTATAATTGAGTAAGTGTGATACATCATTTTTGTTCAGTAATAATTTCGCATAGCTTTTATTGGTATGCATAATATTTTTTCTTTTAGGGGAATTTGCACTAATGATTCAACTCCACAAGTTATATCTTTATATTTAGCAATAATATCTCGAATATTACTATTACAACCAGAAAGCATAAGTGAAGTTTTATCAACCATGATCAACAGGTAAGCAATTTTTAATATTTATGAAATGTTATTGTATTGTAAATTATATTTAAACGATTTTATATTAAATTTCTTTATAGTAATAGTTCATCATTATATGGAAAAAATCAACAAACTGCATTAGGATTAATTTTAGATACTTGGTTGGAATGCATGTCAAGTGTTACACAACCAGAAAGAAGAAAACTCTTATGTAAATAATATAATATATACATATACGCTATATTATATTGTATATTGAGTTAAATAGTATTTATTTACAGCACTAGCACTTTCATCTTTAATAACAGCACAAAGTGACATAATTCTTGATCGAATATGTGGAATTTTAATGCATATCTCAGAAACGCTGAATGATATTATGAAAGAAGATGAAGATGGCACTAATTTCGAGTAAGATTTGATATTATATTGTATAATATGTTGTTATATATAGAATGATTTCCTAGTTTTTCAGGTTTTTTGTTTTGCAAAATATCAAACTAATACACAATATCAGTTCGAATTGAATTCAACTTGAATTTAGATGCAGAATAACTTTTTTGTAAAGTAATGTTTTATTTTTAGTTCTCTTATAATTACACCTAATTCAAGCCCCGCAGTTTATGATGATGGGGAATATGAAACTGAACATGATAGACGAAGGAAGAGATTATCACATAAAGATTCAGTTCATACAGTAGTTCTCAAAGATTATTTGCAAACCCAGGTGAGATATTTATTAACATCATTTTATTAATTTTATATATAATTAAAAAGAAGTCATTATGAAAGTGGCTAATTGCTCATTCCACTGCGAGCTGTAATTTATTTGTAAAAAAAAATTCAATGTTTAAGTTTTCAAAATTCTATTTCACAATTTTGTTTTACAGATTACTACTCTTCAAACTCAAGTCGGATTGGTTAGTTACCAAACAATTTTAGACAATGTTGATAGCGATATTAAAAAAAATTTAAAGGATTATATTACTTTATAAAAATATCTTTAATTAATCTTTATATATTTGTTGATGTTCTTTTTTTGTAAAATTATGTATATTTGCTAGTGTATTGCCATTATTTTCAAATACATATATTTTTTAAGAAATGTTATAAATTACTTATTATAACAGAAAGTTTTGAGATTTGTTTTAAATAAAAGATTGCGCCACAGCCGCTTTGCTGGCACTCCTAGATGTTTAAATTTATATTCGAAAGACAATAAACTACGAAAATAAAATAATACTGATGTTTGCTAATGATAATTTGCGCTAACTTAACATGAAAAGTTATTAATATTACATTGTAGAAGCACTCTAATAAAAATTGCCTTTCTGGAGAAACACCATATATATGCAAAGAAGAATTTTTCAATTCAATTAGTATAACATATTAAATTCATCAGAATCTCATATTAAATATTTTACATACCATGTTTAATATTGATACTAAAGTCTAAGTCGTATGTTCTTGTTTGGTTAATCTAGAACAGATAAATAATTCCTTTTTTTAAGTTCATTCTCAGTTCAAGAAGTTTTCTTGCTGCACAATATAGATAATTGTAACTTTAAATTTGAAAAACATACCATTTTGAGATTATTATGCTATTATCTGTATATAATACAAAAATTTATTAATTTTAAGTTTATATGCTATTCAAAAACAGAATTATTAATTTCAAATTTGGCGCCTCAGTCCCTAGCGGCAATCTCATCAATTACAATGGGTGCATTCGACTTGGACGCTTACGCGCTGTGAGCGCGCCGTGAGCGCGCTTTCATCGTTCGACTTGGCGCTGTGAGTGTCACATAAGTACGCTCGTAGCACCATCGTAGGATGCTCGTAGCACATATTTTGCGCTCACATACGCTCACGCCACAGAGGTAGGGCAGCGTGAGCGTGAGCGTCAGTTGTTTTTACTATCTGTCATTTCATTTGTTTATTAATTGTCAAATTCATTATAATTCCGCAAAAATGGCAAGCTGTAGATCACAATTATTTTTTAATATTAATATTGATATTAATTAATTTTAAATTTAATTAATTTTAAATAATTTTAAATTTCAATTTTAATATTACTATTAATTAAGCATAAGCTAACCAAATTTCATTTATTTATTAATTGTTAAATTCTTTATAATCCCGCAAAAATGCCAAGTTGTATATCACAATTATTATTTAATATTAATATTAATATTAATTAATTTTAAATTTAATTAATTTTAAATAATTTTAAATTTCAATTTTAATATTCCTATTAATTAAGCATAAGCTGACCAAATTTCATTTATTTATTAATTGTTAAATTCTATATAATCCCGCAAAAATGCCAAGTTGTATATCACATTTATTTTTTAATATTAATATTAATATTAAATAATTTTAAATTTTAATTTTAATATTACTATTAATTAAGCATAAGCTAACCAAATTTCATTTATTCATTAATTGTTAAATTTTTTATAATCGCGCAAAAATGCCAAGTTGTATATCACATTTATTTTTTAATATTAATATTAATATTAATATTAATTAATTTTAAATTTAATTAATTTTAAATAATTTTAAATTTTAATTTTAATATTAATATGAATTAAGCATAAGCAAACCAAATTTCATTTATTTATTAATTGTTAAATTCTTTATAATCCCGCTGAATGATCCAGAAAGTGATAAAATTTACACAATTACCGTTACCGCCAGTTGCCGCCATTTTGATGCTTATTGACGCTCACAGTTTCCAAAACGAACGGAATTTAGTTATCGATTCTGAGCGCTTATCGGCCAAGTCGAACGCTAAAAATTCGTGCTTATAAGCGTGAGCGCTCACAGCGCGTAAGCGTCCAAGTCGAACGCACCCAATGAGATATGTCAGTAACGAAAGTTCCTAACCTCATATCTCACGTGTTTTGTCAATTAAATACATATGTATAAATAATATACAAAATTTATAACAATTATATATACTGTAAAAATATATGTTAACAAAGTAATATTTTTAACGATGTCACGTTTGATTGTGAAGAATCTTCCAAAAAAGGTAAAATAATACTCCACTAAATGAAACATTTATGTATCTTTTATTTATGATACATTTCAATTCTAGATAACAGAAGAAAAACTTCGAGAAATTTTTGGCGAAAAGGGCATTGTCACAGATGTACAATTGAAATATACTAAAGATGGAATATTTCGTCAATTTGCATTCGTTGGTTATAAAACTCCTGAAGAAGCAGATGCAGCAGTAAAGTATTTTCATAAAAGCTGTATAAATACTTCTAAAATAACCGTCGAACTCTGTGCGGCTTTAGGTGAGTTTTAATAAATTTATATTATTAAAATATTATCTATATATATGGAATCTATATCGCAGGTGACAATGCAAAGCCTCAATCATGGAGTAAATATGCTGCAGATAGTAGTTCTTTTAAACGGATAAATAAAATTGTTAAGGAAGTTATAAAGTCGCATGATAATAAATTAAACTCAACAAAAGACATTAAGAAAAAAAATGCAGAGGAGTTAGAACAATTATAGAAAAAGTATATACTTTATATTTTATTTTATATATATATATATATATATATATATATATATATATATATGTGTGCAAACTTGTATATCATAATTCAATACATTGCAGTATAAAGATGATCCATTATTTGTTGAATTTTTGGAAAGCCATGCATCTACAGGAAATAGATCTTTACAAGGTACTAATACCGTTACTGATTTCCTAAATAAATTAAAACAAAGCAAAGAACCAGAGGGAAAGAATGAACTAGAAAAAGAGCAGGTATGTTAGTGTATTTTATGATTAAATAAAAACATTAATATTTACCTATTTCCCAGGATGTAGATAATTCTGATATTAAAGATAATTGTGGGGAAACGCCTAAAGAGAAAATTGCTGTTGATGATAAAATTAGCGATCTGGAAGTGAGTTTTGCTAATATAGTTTATAATTGTATTAATATTTAAGTTCTAATATATAATTGTTTTATAGTACATGAGGTCTTTAATGAATAAAAATTTTTCTGAAACAGAAGATGCAATTAAACCTTTGTCTAAACCCAGAGAGAAAATGGCTAAGAAAGTTAAAGAAAAATTGGATTTGTTTACAGTAAAAGTAAAAGGATTGTCATATTCTATGAAAAAGAAAGATATTAAAGCATTTTTCAAACCATTAGTTCCTTATACGATCAGACTACCTCCAAAAATAAAAGGATTTGCTTATGTTGGGTTCAAAACTGAAAAGGATATGAAATTAGCATTAAATAAAGATCGCAGTTTTTTATCTGGAAAACAACTATTTGTATATGAATATCATAAAAAAGATACAGATGCGAATACAGATTCTAATAATGCTACAGAAGCTAATAGAAAATGGAAGCAACAAGAAGATGCTCTAAAATCAGAAGAAGATATTTCTGAATCAGGTCGTTTATTGTAAGAAATTTGCCTTATACAATTACTGAAGATGAATTGCAAAAACATTTTGAAAAGTATGGACCAATTTCTGAGGTAAACTTACCTATTGATAAAATAACTAGAAAGTTAAAAGGATTTGGAGTTATTACATTTTTAATGCCAGAGCATGCAGTAAAAGCCTTTTCAGAACTTGACGGCACTGTATTTGCTGGACGTATGTTACATTTATTGCCAGGCAAGGCAAAACCTACACCCGATGAGAGCACAGAAGGGCTAACATTTCAGCAGAAAAAAGCTTTTAAAATTAAAGAAAAGCTCTGGATCCATTCATAACTGGAATACACTTTTTGGGCCAAAACGCAGTTGCTGATGTTGTAGCATCAAGTTATGGCACATCTAAAGAAGATGTATTAAAGGAAAATGCTGCTGTAAGATTAGCTTTGGGAGAAACAGAAATAGTCGCTAACATGAAAAAAATTTTAGAAGATAGGGGCGTGTGTCTTGATGCTTTCAATAGGGTAATTATTGCAATTTAATTATGCTGTTTGTAAGTAATAAAATATTAAGATTTAATTTAATTTATGCGTGTTCATCTTTCAGCCGTCGGTATCTAGATCTAAAACCATAATATTAGCAAAAAATTTACCTGCAAACACCACTAGTTACGAAATAACAAATATGTTAAAAAATTTGGCCATCTTGGACGAATTGTAATGCCACCAAATGGCTTGACTGCCCTTATAGAGTTTCTTGAACCATCAGAGCACGCACAGCATTCACAAAATTAGCTTATTCTAATTAAAAATTTACCTTATATTTAGAATGGGCTCCTGAGAATACATTTTTGCAGCCATTTAAACCTTCAACTAATACTAGAATACAGGAAGTAATTTCTGAGGAAAATTCAAATACTCTTGAAACCTGAAAAGAAGGGCGATGAGCAGCAAGTATCATCATCACAAGCAGAAGAAGTAGATGATGAAGAACCCAAGAAAAATACACTTATTTATAAAAAATCTAAACTTTGAGACTAGAGAGCCTGCAATCAGAGATGTTTGTATATTATCCTTTATTGAAGCATAATTTACATAAATTCAAACTTGTAATTATATTAGCAGTTCTAAATTTTGTTTTACTTTTTTAATTTCATATTTTCTTTCATAAATCTTTTATTATATAGATAAAATTTATCTCTTGTTTATCATTTCAGGCTTTCAGTAAATGTGGAAAAATTCACTGTGTTACAGTTGCCACAAAAAAAGATCCCAACAATCCTGGGCAGCGTTTATCATGGGTTATGGATTCATTCAATTTAAGCATAAATCTAGTGCTGACAATTGTATTAAAAACATGCAACAAATGCAGTTAGATGGTAAATCACTGGAGTTAAAACGGTCAGACAGAATTCTCAAAATGAAGAGAAGACCAGTAGAAAAGTAAACAAAACTGCTGATCAGACAGGAACAAAAATTTAGTTAGGAATATACCATTTCAAGCTAATAAGAATGAAATTATGCAGTTATTTCAGTATGTATAACCATATATATTTATATGTTTAAATAAATAAATAAATAAATAAATATATATATATATATATTTATATTTATATAATTATATATATATATATATATATATATATATATATATATTTATTATTTCAGAGCATTTGGAGAAATCAAAGCACTTAGATTGCCTAAAAAGATGACTCCTGGGGAAAATCAGCACCGAGGATTTGCATTCGTGGACTATCATACTAAATCTGATGCAAAGGTAATTTATTTGAATACATATTTGTATTGTCTTGCAATAATGTTATTCGGACAACTGAATCAGATTTATTTGTTATTTGTACTAATTATATTTTGAGGTTTATATTCTATTATTTTAAAATATCTTTATTTAGCAAGCATTTGAATCTCTGTGCCAAAGTACACATTATTATTATGTAGTTTAGTAGCAATTCTTTGTCATTGCTAGCAGACAGAGATTTAAGATAGGTATGTAGCGGAGATAATCTTGGAATGGGCAGCTGCAGAAGAAGATGTTGAAGATATTAGAAAGCGCACAGCAAAACATTTCATCAATCTGAGACTATCAGCAGCAAGAAGGCTTTGATCGATGGTTCTAAAATAGGTTTGCATGAAAAGTCCAGCTGATAGTGGATTGGAAATGATTTTATAAACATAAAAAAATAAATATATCTTTTAAATAAAAAACAATATCTGTTTTCAATTTATGATTTCAACACACCGAATTTTGGTAACGCTGTGAAATAATTTAAACCATTCTAAATAATAATAAAAAAGTAAAGAGTTGGCTTAAAATATTTTAAATTTTTATTTTCGACTATAGTTAAATTATCATATTATATTCATATTATCATATATTTCAACTATAGTTTAAATTTATCTTTGATTAAATCACTTTAAACACTATAATTTATATTTTGATGAATAAAATATTTTTGCAAAGTTTAAATTTTCTGTTTGAATTTCGCGCTTTAAATTGCTCAATAATATGGCAGCCATGGTTCTTTTGCTAACTTCAATCACTTCAATTGTCAAAAAGATTTTTGGGAATGCATTGTGACATACCCATATATTCATAGCATGAACGTCAAAATATAAAAAAATAAGTTCAATAATATTGAATATATACTATAATATTTATAGTTAACGCCGCAAAAATGAACCAAAATCCTTGCAATACAAATTAAACTATTTGTACGTATATGGTCTTGTTTGAATATTTAATGTGAATTGAAAAGAAAAATAATTGTTTTAAATATATTTAGTTATAAAATCTTACAAATTGGGCGAGTGAACATTATTAAAATTAAATTTGAAATTATTACTGAACTAGAGTATTAGACACTAAACAATGTCAGAGAAACCGCTGATAGAAAAAGTCATTCTGAGTTCTGGAACAAAATCTGCAACATTTAAAGAAGGCACAAAGGTATTAATGATTGTGAACTTAAGTGAAAAAATAATCTTAAATAAATTCTATTCAAAGTTTAATGTGATTAAATCTATATTGGTATACTGAATAGTGATTGTATGATCATTTCTATGTATAGTTCTGTACTGTACAATGAAAGAAAGAAATAATTACAAAGAAGTTTCAATTCAGGCAATTTTTAATAAAATAGCATGTATAACTCATATGAAAATCATGTTGTTATTATCAATAGCAATTTGTAAACATATGAATGAAGGAACATACAAATAAGTTATAGATAAGAAGTCACTTTCTCATATTTATAAATTAAATTTCCAAAGTTATTTTGCTTTTTGCATCAATCATTTAAAATTAATTAACCATTTTATATGTATATTTAAGAAATAGGAAAACAAATCTAAATAATCTATTACTATCTCCAACTTTTATACAAATGCGATCAAAGAAAACCGTGTCTGTCTATTATTAATATTTAAACTCCTTATATTTATAAAGCAAATAAGTTTTGCATTTTTAGGTAACATTCCATTATGAAACCAAGAAAGTTGGGTGTGATAAGGTGATTGATGACAGTAGAAAAGTGAATGGAGGTAAACCTATGGAATTAGTACTTGGAAAAAAATTTAAATTAGAGGTCTGGGAAGCAATTATTCAAAA